CATACAGATAATGTTGATACCTAGGATGTCCAGTCAAACCATGAAATTACGTACTTCTGTGGGCTGTAGCTGAGCACCAAAGGATGGGCAAGTTTAGCTTTAGGACAGACATGTCATTTTCCGAGTGACTGTGTGAGACAGAAAAATGTTTAGCTATTACTGTTTCCTTTATGAGTGGTACTAGCTAGTAATAAAATAGTCTACTGTCACCTATGCAAAGATAATCCAAAGTTACAGTCTGCTTGGTGCTTTGTAATCACTATAAAAGTTAAATCTTAAGTCTAAATCTAGGCTGGTTAGAATCTATGTCCTGAAAGTCAGTGGCATTATTCGGTGTTCGTTTTCTCTGATGTGATATAGAAATGTACCATATTACCAGACCACATGGGTATTTTTACGTTAAAAGGCTAGTTTTCTGTCAGTTTGAGTGTGGGGTATCAATATATAGATATACTTTCAATATTCTGTTTCAATTTATTGTTAACCCAACTTGAAACCTTAAAGTAAACTTAATGCCTGATGCTTTGAGCTGTAATTATTTTGAAGAACTGTTATGGGTTGCACTACTTTATATCATTTAGAAAATATTTACTTAATAGATAGAAATATAAGTAGCAGATTTTTATATGGTGGTTTGAACATTGTATTGTTTAGACATTTTTTTGGTGGGGGGACTGGGGATAGAACTCCTGTCCTTGTGATTTTGAGTCAGGGGTTGGCACCACTGAGCTAAATCCCCAGCCCTTATTTTCATTATAAACAAACACCATATTGGGCTTAATTCTTGTATGAAGATCTAGTTTTTAGTCACCGTGTACTGAAGGCCTAACTCACTACTGCTTGCTCTATTTTTAAAGGAGCTGATGTTCTTGTAGGTTTTTGTGCAGTGGAAATTGATGTTGCCAGGTTTTCTTGTGGCATCTTGTCCTGGATCTGGGGTTTGGGTGGAGGAAGTAGCAGCAGCTGACCTAGGAACACAAGTTAGTCCATGTAGTAGAAAAGCATCTTCCAGACTGAGGAGTTTCCATGCCATCCTAGAGAACCAGTGACGTGTGTTTTGGGAGAGGTGTGATGTGGTTATGTTTAAGGACAGTTCTTCTCCAGAGGACTTCAAAGTTAAGGAATTGGGCATTGGCCAGGTCAGGAGGTCTTAGTATGGTCCAGGCCCAACATGATAAGGGTGCTGAAATTGTGGGGCTAGAGGAGGAGGAGTGGAGTTAGAGAAATATGTATCTTCACTTCCTCCTGGGCACTGTGGGGTCCTCCTGAGAATTTGGACTTTGAAGGCCTGGAAGTGGAACCTCCATTTTTGTCTGCAGTAGATTCTCCCCTCTGTGGAACCTAGTTGCTTTCCAGGGCTTCCCTCTGCTTTCCTGTATTCAGGTCTTGCATCAGCCAAGGGAGAAAGGCCTGAAAGACCAGCTTTGTTTTCCTTCCAACTTGTGCTCCCAACCCTGTTAGCCAACAGTATTGGCACCACCTCCCAGCCATGGTCAGTCCCAAATTAAACAACCCTGTTATGAAAGCCTATAGTCAGCTCTTGGTTTTGTGCCTCTCTGCATTTTCTTGCAGTTGCTTTTGTCCCCTCACGCTGTCCTGTTAGCAAGTGAGTGTGTTCAGAGTGTGTATCATTCCTGAATTCTTTGCACAGTGAGACCAGTACATGTGGCTGGTGTAAAAGGTAAAAGAATAGTTTTGAGCCACCTCTTTTCATGGCCTGGAAGAGGTGCACCTCTGTTTATTCAAAGGGAACATTGGTGCACATTTAATGTCTTTCTTTACTCACAGAGTTTCTCTTATCAGCACAGTATAGAGTCTATGTAGAGATTGTCCTGTTTAGAAAGATTTGTGTTGTGCTTTGTTTTGTTTTTCAGAAGACAGTGGAGATATTCTTTAAGAATTATCTGCTAGAAAGTGCAAAGGGCCCTTTCATTACTGGGTTATTGGTGCCCTGGGAATCATAGTAGGAGATAACTTTTTTTTTTAGTTTGATGTCAGAATTATTAATACTACACTGAACGATGGAAAAACAATATTCTTTTTGGGGGGGTACTGGGGATCGAACTCAGGTCCTTGCGCTTGCAAGGCAGGCGGCGGAACCACTGAGGTAAATCCCCAGCCCAAAAAACAATATTCTTGTTGCTCTCAAACACATGAAACATCCCATCAGCCCTGGGACCACCCTGGTGCCCTGCGTGGACTGTGTCAGGGAGAAGATCACTTCTCTCAGTCTTCCCAGATCTCCACCCCAAGCCCAGCAGTAGCACTGGCCTCCCAGCAACTTCTTCAGGGGTCAGTTTGCCTGCTGCACTGGCTAGTAGTGTGGTTGTCAGAGGTGGCTTAGAGTCTCTGGAAGACATTTTTGGCCTACCTGACTGTTAGTGTGACAGATGTGTTCGTGCAGACAACTGGATCATCTAATGACTAAACATTTAATTTACACAGAAGGATTAAGTTTCTCACTGTTAACTTTTGCCACATCAGATTTCTTTGATAGAGCCACGAAGAAAATGAGAATTATCCAATTTGGAAAGAGAAACCAATTTCTAAAATGTAGAAGGAATCTCTCTCTTCCTTTTCAGAGTTGGGTTACTTAAGTAGATACTGTTCAAGACTTTGGAGGGGTGGTCTGGTAGCTTACAATTGAGATACCTTAACTGTAGGAATTCTGGAGGTCTTAGGACATATGTCAACTCTGAAACCTGAGCCATAGGTTAGTTAAGCCAACTTGGTTTATATAATCTCAGTTGATAAATACTCATTGTGTACCCACGCACTTTGAAAGGGATAGAAAACAAGTCCACACAGGTTACTCAAGACCAGCATCGATAAATTGTTCTCAATGAGGGGCAAGACAAATACATTTAAACAATTAGAAATAATGGTTTGAGAATGTGTGTCGTAAATTGCTCATGTGCCACAAAATCTGAAATGGCAGAGTTTATAGCTAGGGGACCTATAAATGCTGGGTAATAGCATTTGACAGTGTCAAAAAGAAGGTCTTCTGGTGAAGTTAACCAGGACAAGATTTGGTAGCGGCAAGGCTGACAGTGCATTTCAGGCAGGAGTGGATGGTTCAACCCAATCATTGTTTATTGGTCTCGTAATATATACCAGGCACAATGATTCGACGTGGGGGTGGGTTAAGTTGAAGATGAATGAGGTACCATCATATGTTGGTTTCCACAGATGATTGATTCTCACACCTTACCTGGGCGCCAAATCTCAAGTATTTCAAGTCCCTTATATAACATGGCCTGGTATTTTCATGTAACCTACGTGTGTCCTCTTAAATCATCTTTAGATTACTTGCAATACCTAATACAATATAAATGCTACATGAGTAGTTGTTACACTGTAGTGTTTAGGGAGTGATGACAAGTAAAAATCTGCACACGGTCAGTACTGGCTTAGTTTTTTAAAATATTGTCAGTCCACGGTTTGAATGCGTGGAGGTAGGGCCCACAGACATAGATAAGGAGAGCTGGCTGTGTGGTCTTCTCTTTCTAGGTAGCTGACAGTCAGATGGGTTGAATTGTTTATAAGAGCCACTGAACTTTAGATACGGTTTGCAAGCTTTGGGAATTATGGTCTGGAGTGCTGTAGCCTTGGAAACAGCATCATGCTGGACAGCTTCTGGCAGAAAGGTTCCAGAACGCTCTTGGCTCAGGGTGGCCTGGCCACTCTGCCCAGAGGCTGGGCTGCTGGAACAGGGGTCCCTAAGAGTTCAGTCCTCAGTATACACTGGTGTGACCATCGAAACAAAGTGATTCCCATACTTTGGAGAAGGTGGGCTCAGATTTACAGGTTCCAGCCTCTCAAGCCTGCTGCTGAAACTTGAGAGAAGAAAGCACTGTTGTTCTTCCCAAGACTGTACCTGCCTGTCTTCCCAGGAAGGCTCCGCCACAGTCACTGCTGAAACCAAGTTTTATTTTAAGTGGAAATCTCATGAAAAACCAACATAAGCAAGGGAAACGTTTTGTATAATTCCTGTTCAGAACAAACATCCAATTTGATCTTTAAAAATAGGACGATAATGACTGCTGCCTGTTTCCAAACACCAACTATGCTTAGAAGCTGCCAGTCTGAGATGCTGCTGGTAAAATATCAATTTACTGAAACCATTTAAAAAAATTCTACCCCTGCTCAAATTCATGAAAGTTACTCCTTTGGCAGGATTAGGTTGATTTTAATACTGCACTCTTACCGAAGAGCTAAGGAGCTGTGGAACTGGTATACTTAGTGACTGATCCTTCTCATATTAAGCCTGTGATTTGCTATTACCAAGTGCCAGTAATCTTTTTTTTAAAAAAGCACTCTTGCGGGTTTATCTGTATTTGTCATTAAGGCTCTGCTAAGCCACTGAGCCCTAGAAGTGGGCTGGCAACAAGCTCTCGGCTTTGGCAGGTGAGCCCCACAGACACTGCTCCGTGCCTGGCATTGCCGGGATCTGGACCATGGCAGAAAGCTTTGGGCGACCAGGGCGCTCTCATCTATGGTGCTAAAGCTGAGCACAGCTGAGCCTGTGAGCGAGTGTTCGGTGCTCCAGGTGGTTCTGCAGCTAAAGTGCCATAACACCTTTATATGTTTCCCCAAGAAAGTATTAAGCAATCTGGGTGTTTTTGTAACTCTTTCAGTAAAGGAACCTCGCTTGTGAGCAAAAAACTGCCTGAGATGTCTGATAACTAGCAGCGGGACAAGTGAAACTCAGTTAAGGTTGGTGGGGTGGAACAAAATAAGCCCAGGATGCTTAGGCCTCCACGCTGTCTTCATTCTGCTGTGTTAGGCTGCACAAGCCTCCCGCCGGGGCTTTAGTCTGTGGTTGGCCCTTGATTAAATCCAAGTTGTCGGGGTGTCCTGAGTAAGCGGATGACGAGACATGGTGGATTCAGAGGATCAGAAGAGGAGGTCTGCTCACTGCTGTTTCATCCTGAACAGGATGACAAAAGCTCCTTTCTCGGTGTCTCACCGTCCTGAATTCCTTGTCTTTCCCTCCTCAGAGAGCAGAGCTGACATCTGATAAAGACATGTACCTTGACAACAGTTCCATTGAAGACGCATCAGGAGTGTACCCCATTGATGACGATGACTATGCTTCTGCCTCCGGCTCGGGTAAGCCTGGCTCTTAGTGAATGCAGGATGCCATAAACCGTGTGCAGACGTGGACGTGCAGCCATTGTACCAGGATCTAGGAGACGGGCGGGGTGCGTGACACTTAAGAGCCCGCATCTTGGTGTGAAATTGCCCGGGTGTGAATTACAGCTCTTTGCCAATTACACTGCGAGACCTTGAGAAGCTCTTCTAACTTCGCTCAGCCTCAGTTTCCTCTCATTTATAAACTAGAAAGTAATAATCTTACAACAGCTGTTGTGTGGATTAAAGGAGTGGGCATGTTAGCTTTAACTTTCGTTAAGACTTTCAGAATGATGCCATGGAAACCACTCTTAAAGGGACCTCTCAGACACTAGTTTCATAAAATTGCCCGTCATCCTATGTTAAAGATTACAGATGAAACCAAGAAACTCTATCCTTTTTTATCCCTAATGTATTGCTCAAAAGTAGGAGGGAAAATGCAGCAGCCAAGTAAGAGCAGGGCAGGGTGATATGCCCAGCTTCCTTGGGTTATTAGTTATCTGTTAGCTCCGTAATGCCACATAACAAACCACCCCAAATTTCAGTGGCTCAGAGCAACAGGCATTCATTCTTCCCACTGCTGTGCAGTAGGCAGTTGAGACCGATCCTTGTATGACCACGTCTGTATATGCCAGTGCTCAGCAGAAGGCTGGGTGTGCAGCATGGCTGGTTTTGGCTTGGCTCTGTCCTGTCTCTGTGGCAGCTGGGCAGACTTGGCTGTGGTCTGCACTGTCTGTCATCCTGTGGCTGGCCAGCCATTTGCTCACAGGGAGAGAAAGTGCTCCCACGGCAGAGTGTAGACGCTGCAAAGCCTCCTGGGGCCTGGAATTAGAACTTGCCACACGATACCTTCTGACAGCTTTTATTGCTCAAAGCAAGAGGGGAGGACAGTCCAGACCCCGCCTCTTAGCGGAAGGAGCTCTGGTTGGTCACATGGCAGAGGATGTGAGACCAAGGAAGAATAAAGGAGCCTGGCCAGTTTCTAGTCTACCTTACCTAGTAAATGTTTCACCTGTGTCAAAAATGGTCCCCAAGAAACTGAGAATAAAAGAGCTTGTGTATATGTTTAATTAATGGGCTGTTTAGGACCTTGTGGTCAATAGCATGTAAGAAAAGTCTTTCTAGGTCTTTCTTGTTCAGGGTTTTTATTGTAGGTTCAAAAGATGGTAAAAGTTTGAATGTAGATGTGTGACAGGCAGAACAAATTAAAATTGATCCAGTCATATTTGAGAATATTTATGAGAAAGACAAAAGAGAGGTGGTAGCTGACCTAGTAATAATGAGCTTACAATACAACCTTAATGTAAAAATAGCCTGAGTTATTCTTGAGAGTGTGATATATATCACACACGCAAAATGAGTGTGAACAGAGTTGTTCTCCGTAGCCCACAACTCTATTAATATCTTCCACTCATGGTACTTTTTTTTTTAGTATCTCGAAAGTGCTTTGTAACTGTCATTTTCAAAATGTCCCAGAAGATAGACAGGTACACTGTTTTGCCCCCATTGCACAGATCAGATTAGGGATCTGTAGAGGTCGTGTAAGTCATTTCACTGAGTCCCACCAAGGTTTTCTTTACATTTGAAGAAAGTTGGGGGAGCTCTCTGCACTCATCCAGGTGAAAGGCTGGATTGGGGTGGGTTGTTTGAAATCCCAGACCCACTCATCATGTGGATCAGGATGAGGTTTACATGTGATCTAGATTGCTTCACCCACAGCTCTAGCTTTTGGCAGATGGTTGCTGTGGAGATGTTGGAAGACTATTGTTCTCTGTTTGTTTGTTTGTTTGTTTTGTGTTTTTGAAACCCCTCTGTGCTCTTTCTCCTGTGGATAGTGCTCTTCAGCGTCAGTGGTAGTGGTTGTGACTAAGCTTTGTGATGCACGTACTGTGTGTCTCTGATCCATGCAGCATCCCCGAAAGGTTAGATCCTATTATTGTTTCCATTTTCCATATGAGGAAATCTAAGGCACAGAGCAGTGGAGGAGCTTGCCTGAGGCCGCACTGTCAGAAAGGAATGGTGCCAGGACGGGGACTGTGGAGTGGAGCTTAAGAGTGTGTTCTCTTACAGGCCTTTGCTGCTTTGCTCCTTCTCACCACACACCCCATTCAGGAAGTAAGCAGTCTTTCCCCTGGGGCACCCAGTTCCATCGGAAACATCAAGGCTCCCCTGGGTTTTGGTCCATGTGCGATCTAGGCTAACTCCATTCAGGCTATCAGTAGAAAAGCAAGTGTCCTGGAAAAGACGGTCTGAAGGCCCAAGGTGCTTCCCAGATGGAGAAGCAGTCCATGTTACATATTTGGATTCAGGCAGGGCGTTAGCCAACCCAAATGCTGTGTGCCGCAGACATGCCATGTTCCTAGAACACCGATATTCCCACCCCTGAGAACAAGGGTCTAATGAGAAAATGTAGGAATGAGCAGTAATGATTATAACACCATGCAATGGGTGACTTGAGATAGGAAAGTGCTGTCTGAGAGAAATTCAAGAGTTAAATAACAGGTTTTTGGTTGCACATGACAGATTGAGCAAAGTACTATTTAGAACCAAACTAAACTGACACTAAAGGAATTGGGCATAGACTCACAAGGACAAACACAGACAACAAAGGACACAAAAGCCATCAAGTTTTGAAAGCTGGGAAGCAGATGGGCTGATAGTAACAGCCTTGGCAAACCTGAGATGCCCACGTTAGCCAGCAGTGGGGAGAACGGAGATGTACCCTTTCAACACAGCAGAATGCCCTTGGGGCACAAATGCCTGTTGTAGTCAGGGTTTTGGCAAGGGAATACATTAAATACAGAACACATAGTTGATAGGATTATTCTGTGATAATTATGCAAAAAGTCAAATGCAAAGGAGTACAAGAGAGATTAACTGCACACTATAGGCCCAAAGGATCCAGCTTAGGGCCTAGATCCTAGCAGTTTCCCACACAAGTCCACCTAAAGGCTTAGCGTCCAAGGCAGTGTCCTACGTGAGTCTAGCCAGTGGCCTGGAGCCCATGGCAATTTCTCTTGATTGTCCGTATTGAGGATCTGCACCTGGAAGGCCCAAAGGCCAGTGGTGGAAGCCAGAAAACCTATGCCAGTGAGATAAAGGATTTGTGGTACCAAGCTGAGGGACTCACATTGGAGCTGGAAAGTGTTGCTCATGGTGAAGACCAGAGCTCCCCTGACAAAGACTGCAGCTATTCCCAGTGATGGCGAGGCCCTGAGCTCCTCCTCTGTCAAGAATAGCTTAGTTTGCATCAGGAAAACCATTTGCAGCAAGCTTCTCCTAGAAAATCAACAGACCAAGAGGTCTTCCCCACCAGTTCTCTTTTTATGGCTATTGGTAAAAATCCTCAGGTGGATCCTCCGTGCCCACACCATGCTGATTCAATTCAACTGGGCGTTACAACGTGACCATTCACAGTGTCTTTGGTGGCATTAAGAGGAAGGTGAGAGTGGTATGAACTCAGGATGCCCTCTTCAAAGTCTGCTCCAGAAGAGAGCAGATTGCTGAGCAGAGAGACTCATGCTCCCCAGGAGGAAAACAGGAGGTTACTTTTCTGGGATAAAGCATGGGCTTTGGGCTTATGTGGAACAGGAGAATAAATTCTTAGACTGAGAGTTGTTTAATGCTGTGATATCACCAGTTGTCTCCCAGTCAGTACCAGAACACTGGCTGGATGTCCTTTATCCCCCACACCCCACCCTTACCATGCCCTGAGTAGAGGACTGGGTCACTCCTTTCCAGGGAACTGGACCAACTCAAGCAGTGCAGCAATGGTGGCATTGGGAGTTCCATCCTAACTACAGATGCCCACACTGGACAGACTTTTCCTATGTGTTCAAAACTTCTAGTTAGTTTTTCCCTGTTTAAATATGAAAGGACTACTGGCATTTATAAGAAGCTTGTAACATGAAAGACTAGAAACTTCGCCTAACCTCCACATTGGGAGAGGACAGGAACTCACAGGAAGAAGAGAACTTACAAAAGAAGATTCAAAGAAGAAAATATAAAATCTGAGTAGATTTATAATAACTAAAGCTTGAATTAGTAATCACAAGTATTTCATCATAAAAGGCCCAATACAGAATGACTTCAGTGATGAATTTTACCAGATGTTTAAAGACTTAACATTAATTCTTCTAAATAATAAGAGGACACTATTTGTTCATTTATTTATATATTAGTGGTGCTGGGGATAGAATCCAGGGCCTTTATACTGAGCTACTAAGCTTCAGCCCTTTAAAGATTTGAGACACGATTCACTACTAAGTAGTGTCTTAGTCACCTTTCTTGTCTTTGAGACAAAATACCTTGCACACCCACGATTTAAATCAGGGAGGTTTGTGTTGGCTTATAGTTTTTAAAGGATCCAGTGCATAGTTGGCTCTAAGGCAGGAAGGATATAGTAGTGGAAGGCTCTGGCGCAGGAAAGTTGCTAATGTCATAGTGGCCAGGAAGCAGAAAGAGAAAGGAGAAGCCGGGAGGAAGATACCCTTCCAGGTCACATCTCCAGTGACAGGTCTCCAACCAGGCCCCACTTCCTAACAGCAGTTCAGCTGAGAACACATCAGTGGATTAATGCACTGAACATAGCACCTCATACTCCAACCACCTTCCCAAAGGCCCACCTCTGAACACATGAGGCTTTGGGAGGACAGTCTAGATCTAAACTATTTAGTCTATAAATTGCTCAGGCTGGGCTACAGCTTGACCTCTGTCTTCCTCAGCCTCCCACGGTGCTGGGATTATAGGTGTTTGCTACCACACCCGTCTGAGAGAGAGATCTCTTTTAAAAAGTATTCTGTGAAGCCAGTAGTACTATTATCCTGTTATCCTCTAATTTGTTTGAGGACAGAATGCCTGTACATCAGATGTTCCCTTTCAGAGGAGCTGGACAAATTTGTGGGATCTAATACAGATGCCAGAGTGGCAGCCACACAACCTCCAGTATTATGTAACCTACTTGGCATGCTAAATGACAA